AACGCGCCAGATAATAACTTCCATAGGAAATGCTTTAACTTTGGGGCAGTTTTGAGTCTCCAAACATGAGCTTTATGATCTGGAGTACCTGGAATTGGACGGGTTAGATTGTTGTTTGGTAGGTGAGTTGCAAGCTAATAAGAAGACTTTACCGTGTAGATACCCTCTTATATATAGTGCCAACCCAAGAGATCTCTCTCCGCATCTGGACAAAGCTTTATGGATAATACTTTGTTTACATCGTCTTGATGAATCCACTCATTAACTTTGCTTATGTCCCAATTAGATTTGATATTGTTTAAAAAATCATTCACCATCATCAGGCCTACTTCCTCTAATCGTTTTCTAGGAGCTCTTGGCGAATGAACTGGCAGCCACGGATCCAACCAAGCGTTCGTTATCGAACCATTTCCAATGCAAAAAACGGAGTCCCTGCTTCAGCAATCCTTGCCCTTGTAAGATCGATTTCTAGTGATAAGATGCTTTCTTTCCCTGCACTGCATACAACACATTTGTATCCGGAAAATATCTTCCCTTGAGGACTCTTGATAGGAGACACTGAGGATGTTGTAAAATTCTCCAAATCTGTTTACCGAGAAGAGCTAAATTGAATTTCTCCAATTCTCTGAATCCCAAACCTCCTTCCTTCTTAGGGCGACCAAGTCTGTCCCAAGCATAGCAATGAATATCGCATTTCTCTTCCCCAGAACTCCACCAAAATCTTGCCAAAATCCCATCAATTTCTTCACAAATGGGTTGCCGGATTTTTCAGCCCCCAACTAGTTGCAAACTCAAGGAATCCCCCTATACTTTTTTGCTCTTAAAAAATCACCAACAACTAACAATTTCCTTAATAAAACATCCTCAACTTTCAGATTCATCTTGATTAATACGCCTCCAATTGAACCGGCCATTAAACCGGGTTTAACCACAAATCTGCGTTTACTATACCGCGTTTAGGATTACCCGCATAAGTACCCATGACCCGAGAGTTAAAACGACGTCGTTTTGACTCGTCTCTTTTTCTCAAAACAAAGCCAAAACGACGTCGTGTTCTCTATTCTCTCTATTTCTCAAAATCGCGAATTGGGGGTTTAGGGATTTCAAAATTAGGGTTCATCTTCATCAAGTCTTTGGTTTCTGAAATTGCAGCGATGAGCACCACGAGTTACTACTCATCCGCTTCAAGTCCATTGCATCGTTTTTCTTCTCTTGGTGTCCCGTCGAACTGCTGGTGTGGAGAGGGTATCATCACATTCACATCAAAAACGAAGGAGAATCCATACCGGAGATTCTACCGATGCGCGATTGGAATGATGGTATGTTTTTCTATTTGGTTAAATTGTTGATTTGGAAAGACCATGGAGTATTGATCGGAGTTTATTTGTATAGAGGGAAAATGAGAATCACTTGTTCAAATGGGTTGATGAAGCTCTCTTAGAAGAAATTAGGATGGTCGAGGAGAAGTGTAAGTTAGTTGCAGAGGATGTCAATGCTTTGAGGATGGAAGTGATGGGTACTATGAAGCTCCAAAACG